CAGGTAGGGACATCCTCAACATGCTCAACACGCTCAACATTGGATGTGCTCAATGACTTCAACGCCATCATCGACAACTTCTATGTCTACAAGGTGAGGGGACACCTTGGGGACACCTTGGGGACATTTAGGGACAGGTAAAGACATGCAGGGATGTGCTGGACAGGGTCAACAACCTCTACACCTGCTTTGATGCCATCATCGACAACTTCAATGTCTACAAGGTGAGGGGGACGCCTGGAGGACACCTTGGGGACATTTGGGGACACCTTGGGGACATTTAGGGACGTGTTGGACATTCTCAATGACTTTGACGCCATCATTGACAACTTTGATGTCTACGAGGTGAGGGGGACACCTTGGGGACATTTAGGGACAGGTAGGGACCCACAGGGATGTGTTGGACATGGTCAATGACCTCTACACCAACTTTGACGCCATCATGGACAACTTTGATGTCTACAAGGTGAGTGGGACAGCTGGGGACATTTGGGGACATTCAGGGACAGGTAGGGACATCCTCAACACGCTCAACATGCTCAACGTTGGACGTGCTCGATGACTTCGACGCCATCATCGACAACTTTGATGTCTACATGGTGAGGGGACACCTTGGGGACACCTTGGGGACATTTAGGGACAGGTAAAGACATGCAGGGATGTGTTGGACATGCTCAATGACCTCTACACCTGCTTTGACGCCATCATCGACAACTTCGATGTCCATAAGGTGAGGGGGACACCTTGGGGACACCTTGGGGACATTTAGGGACAGGTGGGGAAACACTCAACACGCCCAACATGCAGAATTCCCGGGGCTGGTCCCTCCCTTCCTGGGGCCGTTCCCTGAGGAATTCCAGGGCCGTTCCCTGAGGAATTCCTGGAATTCCCGTTGTTCTGCAGGGCCGTTCCCTGAGGAATTCCCGGGGCCGTTCCCGCCAAATTCCTGGGGCTCCCGGGGCCGTTCCGTGTGGAATTCCCGGGATTCACGTTGCCTGTCCCGTTGTCCCGCGGGGCCGTTCCCCACGGAATTCCCGGGGCCGGTCCCTGTGGAATTCCAGGGCTGTTCCCTGAGGAATTCCCGGGACTGGTCTTTCCTATCCCGGGGTCGCTCCGTGCGGAATTCCTGGGGCCGTTCCCTATGGAACTCCCGGTACTCCCGTTATTCCCGGTGCCGTCCCGCGCAGGTGGAGACCATCGGCGACGCGTACATGGTGGTGTCGGGGCTGCCGGTGCGCAACGGGAAGCTGCACGCGCGGGAGGTGGCGCGGATGGCGCTGGCGCTGCTGGAGGCCGTGCGCTCGTTCCGCATCCGCCACCGGCCCCGGGAGCGGCTGGAGCTGCGCATCGGCATCCACACCGGTGGGAACGACGGGAAAAACGGGAATGGGAACGGGATTGGGAATGAGGATGGGAATGGGAAATGGGATTGGGAATGGGGACATGGGGATGGAGCTCGTTCCGCATCCGCCACCGGCCCCGGGAGCGGCTGGAGCTGCGCATCGGCATCCACACCGGTGGGAACAACGGGAACAATGGGAACAACGGGAAAAACGGGGATTGGGAATGGGAAATGGGGATGGAGCTGCGCATCGGCATCCACACCGGTGGGAAAAACGGGAAAAACGGGAATGGGAACGGGAAAAATGGGATCGGGAATGGGAAACGGGAATGGGAACGGGGAACGGGCATCGGCTTCCGCCACCGGCCCCGGGAGCGCCTGGAGCTGCGCATTGGTATCCACACCGGTGGGAACAACGGGAAAAATGGGAAATATGGGGGGAATGGGAATGGGATTGGGAACGAGGATGGGAAATGGGATTGGGAATGGGGAAATGGGGATGGGAATGGGGATGGAGCTCCTTCCACATCCGCCGCCAGCCCCGGGAGCGGCTGGAGCTGCGCATCGGCATCCACACCGGTGGGGATGGACGGGAAAAATGGGAAAAACAGGAATGGGAATGGGAATGAGGATGGGAATGGGAAATGGGAATGGGAAACGGGGAATGGGGAATCGGCATCCGCCACCGGCCCCAGGAGCGCCTGGAGCTGCGCATCGGCATCCACACGGGTGGGGATGGGAATGGGAATGGGAATGGGATTGGGGAAATGGGAATGGGAACGGGAAATGGGGATGGGAATGGAAATGGGAAATGATGGGAAATGGCAATAGAAACGGGAACGGGCATCAGCATCCACACTGGTGGGGAACAATGGGAAAAACGGGAATGGGAATGGGATGGGAAATGGGGAATGGGAAATGGGGATGGGAAATGGGAACGGGCATTGGCATCCAAACCGGTGGGAACAGGAACGGGGATGGGGGAATGGGGAACGGGAATGGGAATGGAGATGGGAATCCACACTGGTGGGAACGGGAATGGGGAAATGGGAACGGGGATGGGGATGGGGAACCGGAATGGGATTGGAAATGAGAATGGGATTAGGAATGGGAACAGGGAATGGGAATGGGAACAGAGATGGGGAATGGGGAAATGGGGACGGGAATGGCACCTCAGCGGTGACACCCGGGTGTCCCCAGGCCCGGTGTGCGCGGGCGTGGTGGGGCTGAAGATGCCGCGGTACTGCCTGTTCGGGGACACCGTGAACACCGCGGCACGCATGGAGTCCAACGGGGAGGGTGAGCAGCTGGGGACACCTGGGGACATTGGGGACACCTGGGGACACCACGGGGACACCTGGGGACATTGGGGACACCTGGGGACAATCTGGGGATACCTGGGGACATCCTGAACATGGCGTCACGCATGGAGTCCAACGGGGAGGGTGAGTGGGGCAGGGACACTTTGGGGACACTGTGGGGACACCTTGGGGACACCCAGGGGACATTTGGGACACTGTGAGACACCCTGGGGACACCCTGGAGACACCTTGGGGACACCATGGGGACACCTTGGGGACAGCCTGGGGACACTTTGGGGACACCCTGGGGACATCTTTGGGGACATCTTGGGGACACCTTGGGGACAGTGATGGTGCCACCGCCCCAGCCCTGAAGATCCACATCTCGGGGGTCACCAAGGCCGTGCTGGAGGAGTTCGGCGGCTTCGAGCTGGAGCTCAGGGGGGACGTGGAGATGAAGGTGAGGCCTGAACCCCAAAACTGCCCCAAAACTGCCCTGAGACCCCAAAACTACCCCAGACTGCCCCAGTACCCCCCCCAGAACTGCCCCAACCCCCCAGAACTGCCCTGATAACCCCAAAACTTCCCTGAGACCCCAGAACTGCCCTGATGCCCCCTAAACTGCCCTGAAACCCCCCTAAAACTGCCCTGAACCCCCCAAAACTGCCCTGAACCCCCCAAAACCGCCCCAAACCCTGGGGTCTCCCCCAGTTTCACCCCCCCTCACCCCAAACCCGGGGTCCCCCAAATCCCCTCAATCTTCCCCAAACCCCCCCCTGCACCCCAAAACCCAAATCCTCCCCAAACCCCGGGGTCCCCTCAATCTCCCCCAAACCCCCCCAATCTCCAGGGGCCCCCAAATCCCAAATACCCATCACTCACCCCAAACCCCGGGGTCCCCCAAAACTCCGGGGTGCCCCCAATCCCTCCCAAACCCCCAAACCCGGGATATCCCCAAATCCCAGCGTATCCCCAATCTCCCTCCCCCAAATGCTGGGGTTCTCCCAAACCCAGGGGTCCCCCCAAACTCGGGGTTCCCCCCAATTCCCCCCAGGGCAAGGGCAAGCTCAGGACCTACTGGCTGCTGGGGGAGCGCGGGGGGAGCAGCACGCGGGGGTGACCCCGAAATCTGCACCCCGAAATCTGCACCCCGAAATCTGCACCCCAAAACCTGCACCGGGACCAGCAACGGGGGCTGGGGTCACCCCAAAATCCCTGCACCCCAAAATCTGCACCGGCACCACAGAACGGGGGCTTGGGGCACCCCAAAACCTGCACCCCGAAACCTGCACCCCGAAACCTGCACCGGGATCAGCAACGGGGGCTGGGGTCACCCCAAAATCCCTGCACACCCCGAGGGGGCACCGGGGGTGTCCCCCCAAACTGGGGGTGTCCCCAAACCGGGGGTGTCCCCCCAAACCGGGGGTGTCCCCCCAAACCGGGGGTCCCGTTTGCAATAAAGCTGCTGTGGAAGCACCCGGGGGTCTCCTTGGGGGGGCTCCCGGTGAATTTGGGGTTCCCGGAGGTTTCTGGGGGTTCCCGGAGGGTTCATGGGAGGTTTTGGGGTTCTTGGGGATCTCGGGGGGGGGTTTCTGGTGGGTTCGGGGTTCCCGGGAGGTTTTGAGGGTCCCGGGGGACTCCCGGTGGGTTCCCGGCGATTTGGGGGTTCCCGGCGCGTTTCCCGGTTATTCCCGTTGATTTCGGGGTTCCCGAGTGGTTCCGGGGGTGGTTCTGGAAGGTTCCCGTTGATTTTGGGGCTCCCGGTGCTCCCGGGGTTTTCCCGAGGGGGTTCCCCGGTGATTTCGGTGTTCCCGGTGGGCTCCCGGTGCGTTTCCCGGGGGTTCCCGGTGATTTCGGGGTTCCTGAGGGGTTCCCTAGGGGTTTCCCGGTTATTCCCGGTGATTTCGGGCTTCCCCAGGTGTTTCCCGGCCATTCCCGTTCATTCCGGTGTCCCCGGTTCTACCGGGGCTTTTCCCGCGCTTTCCCCGCCCCCGCGGGTGGGCGGAGCCTCCTCCCCGCACAAGCACCGCCCCCTCCTCCCCATTGGCCAACGCGCCGCTACGCCCCGCCCCTCAATCCCCGCCCCGCGCGCTGTCACTCACACCCATCCCTCCCCTCCCATTGGCCGGTGGAGGAGGGGAGGGCGGGACTTCCTCCCTCGCCGCGCTTCCGCTTCCGGCCCAACTCCTCCGTCGCTCTCCGGTAACTTCCGGCCGCCGCCGCCTCACCGGGCCCGGCCCAAACGGGACCGGCCCGGCCCGGGCTTCGCTCAGCGACTCCGAGCCCCGCACGGCAGCGCCGCAACCGCGCCGGAACCGCGCGGTGCCCCCGGGGCCGCTCCGCTCCCGTTCCCACACCGGGCACCGTCCGCGGCCGCCGCCTCCCGCCGCCCGTCCCGGGCCATGGAGCTCGCCAAGGGCAAGGCGGGGGCGGCGGCGGCCGGGAAGCTGCTGGTGAGCTCGCTGCTGGACTCCAAGGATGAGCTGGAGGAGGTGAGGGGATACCGGGAATATACCGGCGATAACGGGGGATATACCGGGGATATACCGGGGATAACGGGGGGTAATGGGGGTACCGGCACCGGGCTGGGGCCGCCGTGATGGTGCCCGGGATCTGCGGATGCTCCTGGTCCGAAATGTCTCAAAATTCCCCCAAAATTCCTCAAAATCCCCAGAATTTTCCCCACTTTTTCCCCATTTCCCCCCATTTTTTCCTCGCTTTTCCTCAATTTTTCCCCATTTTCCTCCCAATTTCCCCCGGTTTCTCCCCCAGTTTTTTTCCCAATTTTCTCCGGTTTCCTCCCTATTTTTGTCAAATTCTGCCCCTTTCCCCCCCTTTTTTTCCCCATTTTCCCCACTTTTCCCTCTGTTTTTCCCCCATTTTTTCCCCTTTTTTCCCCATGTTTTCCCTGCTGTTTTTCCTCTGGTTTTCCCCGTTTTTTTCTCAGTTTTCCCCATTTCCCTCTTGCATTTTCCCCCCATTTCCCCCCATTTTCTCCCATCTTTCCCCCATTTTCCCCGGTTTTTTCCCTTTTTTCCCCATTTCTTCCCATTCACCCCCCTCACCCCCCACTTTCCCCACGTTTTCTCCATTTTTCTTCCTTTTTTTCATTTCCCCCTTTTCCCTCCATTTTCCCCACCATTTTTCTTCTGTTTTTCTGTTTTTCCCCCATTTTTCTCCTTTCCCCCCATTTTTTTCTCCCATTTTTTCTTCTTTTTTCCCCTCTTTTCCCCCATTTTCCCCATTTTCCCCCCATGATTTCTTCCCTTTCCTCCATTTTTCTTCCTTTTTTTTTCACTTCCCCCCATTTTTTCCCAATTTTTCCTCAGTTTTTCCCTCACGTTTTCCCCATTTTCCCTCCATTTTTTCCCATTTTTCCTGTTTTTCTTCCATATTTTTCTATTTCCCCCCATTTTTCTCTTTTTTCCCTCAGCTTCCCCCCATTTTCCCCTCAGTTTCCCTCTGGTTTTCCCCCATTTTTTCCCCATTTTTCCTCCATTTTTCCTCCAGTTTTTTCCCGTTTTCCCCCATTTTTCCCCAATTTCACTCATTTTCTCCTCATTTTTCTCTCATTTTTCCCCATTTTCCAGCGCCTGGAGCGCTGTGTTGGCATCGTCTCCTCCCTGACCAGCGGGCTCTCGGAGCGCGAGGCCAACGACGCCCTCAACGCCCACGTGAGTCTGGAAAAATGGGAATTTTATACTGGAAAAATGGGAATTTATAATGGAAAAATGGGAATTTATAATGGAAAAATGGGGGTTTGTCATGGGAATGGGCATTGTCAGGCAAAAATGGGAATTTATACTGGAAAAATGGGAATTTATAATGGGAAAATGGGAATTTATGCATGGAAAAATGGGAATTTATAATGGAAAAATGGGGGTTTGTCATGGGAATTTATACTGGAAAAATGGGAATTTATTCATGGAAAAATGGGAATTTATAATGGAAAAATGGGGGTTTGTCATGGGAAATTGGGATTGTCAGGCAAAAATGGGAATTTATACTGGAAAAATGGGAATTTATGCATGGAAAAATGGGAATTTATGCATGGAAAAATGGGAATTTATAATGGAAAAATGGGGGTTTGTCATGGGAATTTATACTGGAAAAATGGGAATTTATTCATGGAAAAATGGGAATTTATTCATGGAAAAATGGGGGTTTGTCATGGGAATTTATTCATGGAAAAATGGGAATTTATTCATGGAAAAATGGGAATTTATAATGGAAAAATGGGGGTTTGTCATGGGAAATTGGGATTGTCAGGCAAAAATGGGAATTTATACTGGAAAAATGGGAATTTATGCATGGAAAAATGGGAATTTATAATGGAAAAATGGGAATTTATAATGGAAAAATGGGGGTTTGTCATGGGAATTTATACTGGAAAAATGGGAATTTATTCATGGAAAAATGGGAATTTATAATGGAAAAATGGGGGTTTGTCATGGGAAATTGGGATTGTCAGGCAAAAATGGGAATTTATACTGGAAAAATGGGAATTTATGCATGAAAAATGGGAATTTATGCATGGAAAAATGGGAATTTATAATGGAAAAATGGGGGTTTGTCATGGAATTTATACTGGAAAAATGGGAATTTATTCATGGAAAAATGGGAATTTATTCATGGAAAAATGGGGGTTTGTCATGGGAATTTATTCATGGAAAAATGGGAATTTATTCATGGAAAAATGGGAATTTATAATGGAAAAATGGGGGTTTGTCATGGGAAATTGGGATTGTCAGGCAAAAATGGGAATTTATACTGGAAAAATGGGAATTTATGCATGGAAAATGGGAATTTATAATGGAAAAATGGGAATTTATAATGGAAAAATGGGGGTTTGTCATGGGAATTATTAATGGAAAAATGGGAATTTATTCATGGAAAAATGGGAATTTATAATGGAAAAATGGGGGTTTGTCATGGGAAATTGGGATTGTCAGGCAAAAATGGGAATTTATACTGGAAAAATGGGAATTTTATACTGGAAAAATGGGAATTTATTCATGGAAAAATGGGAATTTATTCATGGAAAAAATAGGGATTTGTCCTGGGAATTTATCCTGGAAAATGGGAATTTTGTCATGGGAATTGGGAGAAATGACAAAAAATTGGGAATTTCCTCATGGAGTTGGGAATTTGTCCTGGGAATGGGGAATTTCCTCATGGGAAATGGGAATTGGGGATTCATCATGGAAAAATGGGGATTTTATCTGGGAAAAATGGGAATTATTCATGGAAAAGTGGGAATTTATTAATGGAAAAATGGGGATTTATAATGGAAAAATGGGGGGTTTGTCATGGGAATTTATAATGGGAAAATGGGAATTTATTAATGGAAAAAATGGGAATTTATACTGGAAAAATGGGAATTTGTCATGGGAAATTGGGATTGTCAGGCAAAAATGGGAATTTATACTGGAAAAATGGGAATTTATAATGGAAAAATGGGAATTTTATACTGGAAAAGTGGAATTTATTCATGGAAAAATGGGAATTTATTCATGGAAAAAATAGGGATTTGTCCTGGGAATTTATCCTGGAAAATGAGAATTTTGTCATGGGAATTGGGAGAAATGACAAAAAATTGGGAATTTCCTCATGGAGTTGGGAATTTGTCCTGGGAATGGGGAATTTCCTCATGGGAAATGGGAATTGGGGATTCACCATGGAAAAATGGGGATTTTATCTGGGAAAAATGGGAATTATTCATGGAAAGTGGGAATTTATTAATGGAAAAATGGGGATTTATAATGGAAAAATGGGGGTTTGTCATGGGAATTTATAACGGGAAAATGGGAATTTATTAATGGAAAAATGGGAATTTATACTGGAAAAATGGGAATTTGTCATGGGAAATTGGGATTGTCAGGCAAAAATGGGAATTTGTAATGGAAAAATGGGAACTTAATAATGGGAAATTGAGAATTCCGTCATGGGAAATGGGAATTGTCAGGGAAAGTGGGAGTTCTTCATGGGAAATGGGGATTTATCCTGGAAAATTGGGATTTACTTATGGGAAATTGGAATTTTATCATGGAAATTGGGATTTTGTCCTGGGAATTGGGAATTTTCTAATGGAAATGAGGATTTGTCTTGGGGAAATGGGAATTTATGAATGGAAAAATGGGGAATTTATACTGGAAAAATGGGAATTTATACTGGAAAAATGGGACTTTATTCATGGGAAATGGGATTGTCAGGGAAGATTGGGAATTGTCATGGAAAAAATGGGGATTTGTCATTGAAAAGTGGAGATTTTATCATGGCAAATGGGGATTTTGTAATGCAAAAATGGGAATCATCATGGGAAATTGGAGATTTTGTCATGGGGATTGGGATCTGTCATGGAAAAATGGGGATTTGTCATGGAAAATGGGAATTCTTCAGGGAAAATTGGGAATTTTGTGTTGGAAAATGGGGATTTGTCATAGGAAATTGGGAATTTTATCCTGGGAAATGGGAATTGTGATGGAAAATGGGAATTTATTCATGGAAATGGGGAGTTGACCTGGAAAATGGGAATTTATCCTGGAAAATGGGGATTTGTTCTGGAAAATGGAAATTGGGAATTCCCTCGTGGGAACTGGGAATTCCCTCCTGGAAATTTGGAATTCCATCCTGGAATAATGGGAATTTATCCTGGAAAATAGGAATTCCCTGCTGGGAACAGGGAATTGGGAGCTGGGATTTGGGAATTGGGATTTTGGGAATTCACCTGGAATTTTTGGAAGATTTTTGGGAATTTTTCCCCTCGCAGATCTGCAAAGGGACCCCCCAGCACGAGGAGATTTGCCTGGGGCTCTTCACCCTGGTCCTGACAGAGCCGGCCCAGGCCCAGAAGGTGAGGGGAAAACTGGGAAAAACTGGGAAAATCTGGGAAAAAACTGGGAGAAACTGGGAAAAAAATGGGAAAAACTGGGAAAAAACTGGGAAAATCTGGGAAAAAACTGGGAATTTTTGGGGAATTTTGGGGAATTTTTGGGAATTATTTGGGAATTTTCCTGTCTGGAATTCCCTGTGGGGGGGGGAGGGGTCAAAATCCTGAATTTGGGGGGAAAAACCCAGGAATTTTCTTATGGATTTAGAACCAATTTGTCACGGGAATCCAATTTTTTTTTTTTTTTTTTTTTTTTTTCTGATCGCTTTTTCCATGAATTCTTCTGGAATTTTCCTTCGGGAAAAAAGGGAAGGGAAGGGGGAGGTTTCTGTGGTTTTTTTTCCGAGGGAATAATTGGAATAATTAATTGGGATAATTTGGGATGGGCTGTTAACCCCTTCCTGCCTGGAGCAGGAAAAACCAAATGCTCAGAAAAATCTGCCCCAGGGACCCCCAAAATCTGCCCCAGGGACCCCAAAATCTGCCCCAGGGACCCCCAAAATCTGCCCCAGGGACCCCAAAATCTGCTCCAGGAACCCCAAAATCTGCCCAGGGACCCCCAAAATCTGCCCCAGGGACCCCAAAATCTGCCCCAGGGACCCCAAAATCTGCCCAGGGACCCCAAAATCTGCCCCGGGACCCCAAAATCTGCCCCAGGGACCCCAAAATCTGCCCCAGGGACCCCAAAATCTGCCCAGGGACCCCAAAATCTGCCCCAGGGACCCCCAAAATCTGCCCAGGGACCCCCAAAATCTGCCCAGGGACCCCAAAATCTGCCCAGGGACCCCCAAAATCTGCTCCAGGAACCCCAAAATCTGCCCCAGGGACCCCCAAAATCTGCCCAGGGACCCCAAAATCTGCCCAGGGACCCTCCAGGACCCCAAAATTTGCCAAATCTGCCCCAACCCCGCCTCAGTGCCCCCATCTGGGCCCAGCTGCTCTTCCTCCTCCTCCTCCTCCTCCTCCTCCCTGCCCTCATTAGCAGCCTCATTAATCACTGTAGCGTTAATTAAACACGGCAGAAATTCAGGAATTCAGGGAAATTCACGATGAGTTTTCCATGGAATTTCCTGGATTTTCCCCAAAAATCCTTGGATTTTCCATCCGTTCCTGGGCTGGTTTTTTTCCCAAAAATCCCTGAATTTTCCAGAAATTTCCCATTTTTTCCCCCCATTTTTGCCCTCAGTGTTACCGGGACCTGGCCCTGGTCAGCAGGGATGGGATGAACATCGTCCTCAACAAGATCAACCACATCCTGATGGAGAAGTACCTGAAGCTGCAGGACACCTGCAGGACCCAGGTCAGGGACCTTCACCTGCAACCTCCTGGCCCACCCAACATCTCCTGGCCCACCTGGAATCCCTTGTCCCCACCTGGAATCCCTTGTCCCACCTGGAATCCCTTGTCCCACCTGGATTCTCCTGTCCCACCCAGAATTTCGTGTTCCACCCAAAATTTCCCTTCCCACCTGGAACCTCCTGTCCCACCTGGAATTTCGTGTCCACCTGTCCCACCTGAACTCTTCTGTCCCACCCAAAATTTCGTGTCCCACACAGAATTCCCTGTCCCACCTGTCCCACCCAGCATCTCCTGGAGTCTCCTGGCCCACCTGGATTCTCCTGTCCCACCCAAAATTTCGTGTCCCACCTGGATTTTCCTGGAATCTCCTGTCCCACCCAACATCTCCTGTCCCACCCAACATCTCCTGTCCCACCTGGAATCCCTTGTCCCACCTGGATTCTCCTGTCCCACCCAGAATTTCGTGTTCCACCCAAAATTTCCCATCCCACCTGGAACCTCCTGTCCCACCTGGAATTTCGTGTCCACCTGTCCCACCTGGACTCTTCTGTCCCACCCAAAATTTCGTGTCCCACACAGAATTCCCTGTCCCACCTGTCCCACCCAGCATCTCCTGGAGTCTCCTGGCCCACCTGGATTCTCCTGTCCCACCCAAAATTTTGTGTCCCACCTGGATTTTCCTGGAATCTCCTGTCCCACCCAACATCTCCTGTCCCACCTGGAATCCCTTGTCCCACCTGGATTCTCCTGTCCCACCTAGAACTTCGTGTTCCACCCAAAATTTCCCATCCCACCTGGAACCTCCTGTCCCACCTGGAATTTCGTGTCCACCTGTCCCACCTGAACTCTCCTGTCCCACCCAAAATCTCCTGGCCCACCTGGAATCTTCTGTCCCACCTGGATTTCCCTGGATTCTCCTGTCCCACCCAAAATTTTGCGTTCCACCCAAAATTTCCCATCCCACCTGGCACCTCCTGTCCCACCCAAAATCTCCTGTCCTACCTGCACTCTTCTGTCCCACTGGAATTCTCCTGTCCATCCTGTCCCACCTGGCACCACCTGTCCCACCCAGAATCTCCTGTCCCACCTGGAATTTCGTGTCCACCTGTCCCACCTGGACTCTCCTGTCCCACCCAAAATTTCGTGTCCCACACAGAATTCCCTGTCCCACCTGTCCCACCCAGCATCTCCTGGAGTCTCCTGTCCCACCTGGATTCTCCTGTCCCACCCAAAATTTCGTGTCCCACCTGGAATCCCTTGTCCCATCTGGATTCTCCTGTCCCACCTAGAACTTTGTGTTCCACCCAAAATTTCCTGTCCTACCTGAAATCTCCTCTCCTACCTGGACTCTCCTGTCCCACCTGGAATTTCATGTCCACCTGTCCTACCTGAAATCTTCTGTCCCACCCAAAATTTCGTGTCCCATCTGGAATTTCCTGGCACCTCCTGTCCCACCCAACATCTCCTGTCCCACCTGGATTCTCCTGTCCCACCCAACATCTCCTGTCCCACCTGGAATCTTGTGTCCCACCTGGAATCCCTTGTCCCACCTGGATTCTCCTGTCCCACCCAGAATTTCGTGTTCCACCCAAAATTTCCCTTCCCACCCAGAATCTCCTGTCCCACCTGGAATTTCATGTCCACCTGTCCCACCTGAACTCTTCTGTCCCACCCAAAATTTTGTGTCCCACACAGAATTCCCTGTCCCACCTGTCCCACCCAGCATCTCCTGGAGTCTCCTGGCCCACCTGGATTCTCCTGTCCCACCCAAAATCTCCTGGCCCACCTGGAATCTTCTGTCCCACCTGGATTTTCCTGGAATCTCCTGTCCCACCCAAAATTTCCCATCCCACCTGGCACCTCCTGTCCCACCCAAAATCTCCTGTCCTACCTGAAATCTCCTGTCCTACCTGGACTCTTCTGTCCCACTGGAAATCTCCTGTCCCACCTGGAATCTTCTGTCCCACCCAAAATTTTGTGTCCCACACAGAATCTCCTGTCCCACCCGGCATCTCCTGTCCCACCCAGCATCTCCTGGAATCTCCTGTCCCACCCAAAATTTTGTGTCCCACCTGGAATCCCTTGTCCCATCTGGATTCTCCTGTCCCACCTGTCCCACCTAGAACTTTGTGTTCCACCCAAAATTTCCCTTCCCACCCGGAATCTCCTGTCCCACCCGGAATCTCCTGTCCCACATAGAATCTTGTGTCCCACCTGGACTTTCCTGTCCCACCTGCAGGGGAGCAGGGAGGGCTTGGGGACCTCCCTGAGGGGTGGGATTGGGGTCCTGGGGTGGGATTGGGGAGTTTGGGGGCCCCTGACCCCCAGTTTTCCCTGCCCAGCTGTGTGGGTGGGATTGAGGTCCTGGGGGTCCCTGGGGTGGGTTTGGAGACCCCTGGGGTGGGTTTGGGGTCTCTGGGGGTCCTGAGCCCCCCGTTTCCCTGCCCAGCTGCTGTGGGTGGGATTGGGGGGTCCCTGGGGGTTTTTGGGGGTCCCTGAGCCCCCCGTTTCCCTGCCCAGCTGCTGTGGGTGGGCTTGGGGGTCCCTGGGGGTTTTTGGGGGTCCCTGGGGGTCCCTGAGCCCCCCGTTTCCCTGCCCAGCTGCTGTGGGTGGGACTGGGGGGTCCCTGGGGGTTTTTGGGGGTCCCTGGGGGTTTTTGGGGGTCCCTGAGCCCCCCGTTTCCCTGCCCAGCTGCTGTGGGTGGGTTTTGGGGGTCCCTGGGGGTTTTTGGGGGTCCCTGGGGGTTTTTGGGGGTCCCTGAGCCCCCCGTTTCCCTGCCCAGCTGCTGTGGCTGCTGCGGGAGCTGGTGAAGAGCGGCGTGCTGGGAGCTGACGGGGTGTGCATGACCTTCATGAAACAGATTGCAGGTGGGCTGGGAACGGCTGGGAATACTGGGAATACTGGGAATGGGAGCTGGGATTCCTTGGGATGTGGGCTGGGAGTGCTGGGAATGGTGGGAATGTGGGCTGGGGGTGCTGGGAATGGTGGGAATGGGAGCTGGGAATGGCTGGGAATGTGGGCTGGGAATCCTTGGGATGTGAACTGGGAGTGCTGGGAATGGTGGGAATGGTGGGAATGGGATCTGGAAATCCTTGGGATGTGAACTGGGAATGGTGGAAATGTGGGCTGGGGGTGCTGGGAATGGGAGCTGGGAATCCTTGGGATGTGAACTGGGAATGGTGGGAATGTGGGCTGGGGGTGCTGGGAATGGTGGGAATGGGAGCTGGGAATGGCTGGGAATGGGATCTGGTAATCCTTGGGATGTGAACTGGGAGTGCTGGGAATACTGGGAATGGTGGGAATGGGATCTGGAAATCCTTGGGATGTGAACTGGGAGTGCTGGGAATGGTGGGAATGGTGGGAATGGGATCTGGAAATCCTTGGGATGTGAACTGGGAATGGTGGGAATGGGAGCTGGGAATGGGATCTGGAAATCCTTGGGATGTGAACTGGGAATGGTGGGAATGTGGGCTGGGGGTGCTGGGAATGGGAGCTGGGAATCCCTCAGGATTCGAGGCAGGAATCTCTCAGGATCTGAGCTGGAAATCCCCCAAGTCTGAGCTGGGAAATCCTGAGGATTTGAGCTGAGAATCCCCAGGATCTGGGCTGGGAATTGCTGGGATAGGAGTCAGGAATTGCTGGGAATCCCTCGGGATCTGAGCAGGGAATCTTTGGGATCTGAGCTGGGAATCAGATTGGGATCAGCTGGGAATCCCTGATCGGGATCTGAGCCAGGAATCCCTCAGGATCTGAGCTGGGAATTGCTGGATGTGGGCTGGGAAATCCTCAGGATCTGAGCCAGGAATCCCTCAGGATTTGAGCTGGGAATCCTCAGGATCTGAGCAGGGAATCCTCAGGATCTGGGCCAGGAATCCTTGGCATCTGAGCTGGGAATTGCTGGGAATCCCCCGGATCTGAGCTGGGAAATCCTGAGGATTTGAGCTGGGAATCCCCCAGATCTGAGCCAGGAATCCCTCAGGATTTGAACTGGGAATCCTCAGGATCTGAGCTGGGAATTGCTGGGATCTGGGCTGGGAAGTCCTCAGGATCTGGGCTGGGAATCCTCCAGACCTGAGCCAGGAATCCCTCAGGATCTGGGCTGGGAATTCTTGGGATCTGAGTCAGGAATTGCTGGGAATCCTCAGGATTTGGGCTGGGAATTCTTGGGATCATTCCCGGCCGGCAGCTCCCGGGACAGGCAGGGGATGGGAGGAGGAGGAGGAGGAGGAGGAGGAGCCGCCTGTTCCATCCATCCATCCATCCCTCATCCCTCCCTCCATCCCTGGGGAATCCCGGGATCCCCGCCCCGCTCCCGCCTTTCCGGAGCCTCTTCCGTGTTCCCGGCGCCGAACGGGAATTGTGGCCCTGGGAAATGAATGCCGGGAGGGGAGAAATGGGAAAAGCACTGGGAAAGGAGCCTTGGAAAAGGTTCCTGGGAAAGGAATCCCTGGAAAATGCAGCCCTGGAAAGGCCCCTGGGTCCCTCCTCCCCTGCAGGGCCCCTCTGGCTCTCACTGCCTGCCCTTCACTGCCACCCGTTGTCTGCACCTGCTGGTTCTTCCTGGCAGGGAGTTCTGCCTGGTTTTTCCCTGGCTTTTTCCTGATTTTTCCCATGTTTTTTTCCTGATTTTCCCCTGTTTTTTTTCCCTGATTTTTCCCTGTTTTTTTCCCTGATTTTTCCCTGGTTTTTCCCATGGTTTTTTTCCCTGATTTTTTCCCTGTTTTTTTCCCTGATTTTTTCCCTGTTTTTTTCCCTGGTTTTTCCCCTGTTTTTTTCCCTGGTTTTTCCCTGATTTTTCCCTGTTTTTTCCCATGGTTTTCCCATTCTCTCCATGGGGAGCCTCCCTGGGATCACAGGGATGGGAGCAGGCAGCTCCCAAATCCCCCAGCTCCCAAATCCTCTGTTCCACATCCCAGCTCCCAAATCCCCCTGTTCCATCCCAAATCCCTGTTCCATATCTCAGCTCCCAAATCCCCCTGTTCCATCCCAAATCCCTGTTCCACATCCCAGTTCCCAAATCCCCCTGTTCCATCCCAAATCCCCCTGTTCCATCCCAAATCCCTGTTCCACATCCCAGCTCCCAAATCCCCCTGTTCCATCCCAAATCCCACTGTTCCATCCCAAATCCCTGTTCCATATCCCAGCTCCCAAATCCCTCTGTTCCATCCCAAATCCCTGTTCCATATCCCAGCCCCCAAATCCCCCTGTTCCATCCCAAATCCCTCTGTTCCATCCCAAATCCCTGTTCCATATCCCAGCTCCCAAATCCCTTTGTTCCATCCCAAATCCCTCTGTTCCATCCCAAATCCCCCTGTTCCATCCCAAATCCCACTGTTCCACATCCCAGCTCCCAAACCCCTCTGTTCCATCCCAAATCCCCCTGTTCCATCCCAAATCCCTCTGTTCCATCCCAAATCCCTCTGTTCCATCCCAAATCCCACTGTTCCACATCCCAGCTCCCAAATCCCCTCTCCTCCTCCGCACCCCAGTTATTTTTCCCTGCTGTTTTCCCAGGCGGGGACGTCACTGCCAAGAACATCTGGCTGGCAGAGAACGTTCTGGAAATCCTGACAGAGCAAAGGTAACCCCAGTGCCCTTCCCACCTTCCCAAAAAAGTCCCCGAATCCCCCTTGGACACCCCTAAATCCCCTTGGACACCCCTAAATCCCCCGGACACCCGCAGGGCTGGGGAGCAGCCGTGGCTCTGGCCCAGCATCCCGGCAATGTTCCCTTCCCCAATTTCCTGAGCTTTTCCTTTGGGAGCAGCGGCCTGGAGTTGATTGCCCCCAAAATTTCCTGTGTTTGGGCAGCTGGGAACTGCATCCCATTGTCCCGGAGGCAGGGAATTCCTGGATTCAGGATTGCCCAGGCTGGAGCAGCAGGGAATTCCCTGAATCCCAGCTTCTGTCCAGCTGCATTTGGCCTGGGGTTGTTTTGTTCCTGGGATTGTTTTATCTGGGATTTCTTTTTTTCCTGGGATTGATTTTTTTTTTTTTCCTGGGATTTTTCTTTTCCTGGGATTGATTTTTTTTTTCCCTGGGATTTTTTTTTTCCTGGGATTGTCTTGTTTTTCCTGGGATTCAGAGGCAGCAGGAGCCACCTGGGACACCCCAGGGCTGGGCTGGATTTTCCAGTGTTTATCAATTCTGTGTTCATCACCAATATATTTATCAACTAATATCTGTATAATTTAATGTATTTTTTGTTTGTTATCTTTATTAATTAATGCATTTCCCAATTATTAATTAACATCTTTAATGATGCCCTGGGTGATGGTTCCAGGTGACACCAACCCAGTCCCACCATTGCTGCTGGTGTTCCCTTCCCACAAAGATATCACTTAATATCTTTATAATTTATTATCGTTATTAATTAACGCATTCCCCAATTAATACATTTATTAATGAATACATTAATTTATTTATTAATTATTTACTGGCCTTTTTGGATAGCCTGGGTGATGATTCCAGGTGACACCAACCCCGTCCAACCATTGCTGCTCACACCATTCCCAGTGCTCCTTTCCTTTCCAATCCCACAAAGATTTAATTTAATTTAATACCTTTATTATTCATTATCTTTACTAATTAACACATTCCATAATTAATACGTTCATTAATGAATAAATTAATTTATTTATTAATTATTTACTGGCCTTTTTGGATAGCCTGGGTGATGATTCAGGTGACACCAACCTCGTCCCCCCCTTGCCCCATTCCCGCTGTTCCCTCCCCACACCCCAATCCCACAAAGATATCATTTAATACCTTTATTATTCATTATCTTTATTAATTAACACATCCCCCAATTAATACACTTATTAATAAGTAAATTTATTTATTTATTATTGATGCCCTGGCTGATGGCTCCAGGTGACACCAACCCCGTCCCCACTTTGCCCCTCACCCCATTCCCGCTGTTCCCTTCCCATACCCCAACCCCACAAAGATATAATTTAATATCTTTATTAATTGACACATTCCTCAATTAATGCATTAATTAATAAATTTATAGTTTATTAACTATTTAATCACCTTTATTGATACACTGGGTGATGATTCCAGGCGACATCAACCTTATCCCACCAGTGCCCCTCACCCCATTCCTGGTGTTCCTTCCCCACCTTGGATCCCACAAAGATATCATTTATTATCTTTATAATTTATTAATTAACACATTCCCCAATTAATACACTTACTAATTAATAAATAAATTTATTTTTTTATTATTGATGCTTTGGCTGATGTTTCCAGGTGACACCAACCCTGTCCTCCATCTGCCGCTGGCCCATTCCTGGTGTTCCCTTCCTGTACCTTGATCCCACAAAGATATCATTTAACATCTTTATAATTTATTCTCTTTATTAATTAACATCTTCCCCAATTAATACATTAATTAATTAATGTATTAATTAATTTATTTATTATTTAATCACCTTTTCTAATGCTCTGGGTGATGTTTCCAGGTGACACCAACCCTGTCCTCCATTTGCCGCTGGCCCATTCCTGGTGTTCCCTTCCTGTACCTTGATCCCACAAAGATATCATTTAACATCTTTATAATTTATTCTCTTTATTAATTAAGACATTGCCCAATTAACACATTAATTAATTAATTAATTAACTATTCAATCACCTTTATTGATGCCCTGGCTGATGGTTCCAGGTGACACCAACCCCGAGCCCCCTTTGCCGTTTGCACCATTCCCGCTGTTCCCTTCCCACAAAGATATAATTTAATATTTTTATTAATTGCCACATTCCCCAATTAATGCATTTATTTATTTATTTATTTATTTCTTATTTAATTACATTTTTGGGTAGCCTGGACAATGGTTCCAGATGACACCAACCCCATTCCCCCTTTCCCCCTCGCCCCATTCCCGCTGTTCCCTCCCCGTGCCCCGATCCCGCCGGATCCCCTATAACCCTCTCCCCTTTTGGGGCGGGTTTGGGGCTCATTTGGGGTGGGTTTGGGGCTGATTTGGGTTTTTTGCAGGGAGTGGGTGCTGAAGAGCAGCCTGCTGGTGGCCATGGCCGTGTACACGTACCTGAGGCTGATCGTGGATCACCACGGCACGGCCGCGCTGCAGGCGCTGCGCCAGAAGGAGGTGGAGTTCTGCGTGTGCCTGCTGAGGGAAAGGGTGAGATTGTACGGGATTGTGGGATTATATGGGATTGGGAATGGGATTGGGGTGGGATTGGGATTGGGAATGGATTGGGATTGGGAATGGGATTGGGGTGGGATTGGGATTGGGAATGGATTGGGATTGGGAATGGGATTGGGGTGGGATTGGGATTGGAGTTCTGCGTGTGCCTGCTGAGGGAAAGGGTGAGATTGTACGGGATTGTGGGATTATATGGGATTGGGAATGGGATTGGGGTGGGATTGGGATTGGAGTTCTGCGTGTGCCTGCTGAGGGAAAGGGTGAGATTTTATGGGATTATGGGATTATGTGATTGGGATTGGTATTGGAGTTCTGCGTGTGCCTGCTGAGGGAAAGGGTGAGATTGTATGGGATTGTGGGATTATATGGGATTGGGAATGGGATTGGGGTGGGGTTGGGATTGGGAATGGATTGGGATTGGGGTGGGATTGGGGTGGGATTGGGATTGGAGTTCTGCGTGTGCCTGCTGAGAGAAAGGGTGAGATTATATGGGATTATGGGATTGGGTTGGGATTGGGTTTGGAGTTCTGCGTGTGCCTGCTCAGGGAGAGGGTGAGTTTGGGATTGGGATTATATGGGATTGGGGTTGGGATTGGGATTGGGAATGGATTGGGATTGGGATTGGAGTTCTGTGCATGCCTGCTCAGGGAGAAGGTGAGTTTGGGATTGGGATTATATGGGATTGGGTTGGGATTGGGTTTGGAGTTCTGCGTGTGCCTGCTCAGAGAGAGGGTGAGTTTGGGATTTTATGGGATTGGGATTGGGAATGGGTTGGGTTTGGATTTGGAGTTCTGCGTGTGCCTGCTGAGAGAAAGGGTGAGTTTGGGATTGGGATTATATGGGATTGGGATTGGGGTTGAGTTTGGATTGGGATTGGGATTGAAGTTCTGTGTGTGCCTGCTCAGGAGAGGGTGAGCGATTATATGGGATTGTGGGATTATATGGGGTTGGGATGGCCTTGGATTGGGATTGGGATTGGATTGATTTCCTGGATCGTTCTATGGTATTTCATGGATTGTTCCATGGGATTTCCATGGATTGTTCCATGGGATTTTCATGGGATGTTTAATGGGATTTCCATGGATTCTTTCATGGGATGTTCATGGATTGTTTAATGGGATTTTCTTGCATTATTTCATGGCATTCCCATGGATTATTCTATGGCATTTCCATGAATTATTCCATTGAATCCTCCTTTTCCCCCAGTTCATGAATTGTTCCATGGAATTTTCCTGGGTTGTTTCATGGCATTTCCATGAATTATTTCATTGAATTTCCCCCTTTTTTCCCAGTTAATGGATTGTTTCATGGGATTTTCATGGATTATTTAATGGCATTTTCATGGATTATTTAATGGGATTTTCATGGATTATTTCATGGGATTTTCATGGATTATTCCATGGGATTTTCAAGGATTGTTTAATGTGATTTTCCTGTATTTTTCCGTGGTATTTTCCTGCATTATTCCATGGTGTTTCCATGAATTATTTCCATGGAATTCCCCCTTTTTCCCCAGTTCATGGACTGTTTCATGATCGGCCGGGACCTGGTGCGGCTGCTGCAGAACGTGGCTCGGATCCCCGAGTTTGAGCAGCTCTGGAAGGACATCCTGCACAACCCGCAGGTGCTCAGCCCCCAGTTCACAGGTACAGCCTGCAAACCCTCCCTTTTCCAGGGATTCCCCAATTCTGGGCTTTTCCAGGGCTTTTCCAACGTGTGTTTTATTGGCGGAGTGACACAAGTGCCGTTTCTGTCCCCGTGCCCCAGGTGTGCTGCAGCTGCTGCAGTCCAGGACCTCCCGCAAGTTCCTGGCGTGTCGCCTCACCCCTGACATGGAGACCAAGCTGCTCTTCATGACCTCGAGGGTAAAAACCCCCTGGATCCCAAATTCCTGATGGGCTCTGTCCTGAATTCCTGATGGGTTCCCAAATTCCTGATGGGCTCTGTCCTGAATTCCCCCTGGATCCCAAATTCCACATGGATTCCCTCCCAAATTCCACCTGGATCCCAAATTCCTGATGGGTTCTATCCTGAATTCCTGATGGGTTCCCAAATTCCTGATGGGCTCTGTCCTGAATTCCTGATGGGTTCCCAAATTCCTGATGGGCTCTGTCCTGAATTCCCCCTGGATCCCAAATTCCACATGGATTCCCTCCCGAATTCCACCTGGATCCCAAATTCCTGATGGGTTCTGTCTCAAATTCCACCTGGATTCCCAAATTTCACCTGGGTTTTGCCCTAAATTCCACATGGATTCCCTCCCAAATTCCACCTGGATCCCAAATTCCTGATGGGCTCTGTCCTGAATTCCTGATGGGTTCCCAAATTCCTGATGGGCTCTGTCCTGAATTCCCCCTGGATCCCAAATTCCACATGGATTCCCTCCCAAATTCCACCTGGATCCCAAATTCCTGATGGGCTCTGTCCTGAATTCCTGATGGGTTCCCAAATTCCTGATGGGCTCTGTCCTGAATTCCCCCTGGATCCCAAATTCCACCTGGATTCCCAAATTCATGATGGGTTCCGTCCCAAATCCCCCCTGGATTCCCTGCCAAATTCCTCATGGTTCATTCCCTAATTCCTGATGGGTTCCCTCCTAAATCCCACCTGGGTTCCCAAATCCCACCTGGGTTCCTTCCCAAATCCCACCTGGGTTCCTTCCCAAATTCCACCTGGATTCCCTCCTAAATTCCCAATGGGTTCCATCCCAAATTCCCTCTAGCTCAGGGTCCTGCTTGTCCCCACTGCCAGCCCTGTCCTGTGTCCCCATTTCCAGCTGTGTCCCCATGTCCCCAGCTGTGTCCCTATGTCCCTGTCCCTGTCCCCAGGTGCGCTTTGGGCAGCAGAAGCGCTACCAGGACTGGTTCCAGCGGCAGTACCTGTCCCCATCCCTGTCCCCATGTCCCATACCTGTCCCCAGCTGTGTCCCCTGTCCCCAGGTGTGTCCCCATGTCTCATACCTGTCCCCAGGTGTGTCCCCATCCCTGTCCCTGTGTCCCCAGCTGTGTCCCCATGTCCCATACCTGTCCCCAGCTGTGTCCCCTGTCCCCAGGTGTGTCCCCATGTCTCATACCTGTCCCCAGGTGTGTCCCCATCTCTGTCCCTGTGTCCCCAGCTGTGTCCCCATGTCCCATCCCTGTCCCCAGGTGCGCTTTGGGCAGCAGAAGCGCTACCAGGACTGGTTCCAGCGGCAGTACCTGTCCCCATCCCTGTCCCCATGTCCCATACCTGTCCCCAGCTGTGTCCCCATGTCCCCAGCTGTGTCCCCAGCTGTGTCCCCGTGTCCCATCCCTGTCCCCAGGTGCGCTTTGGGCAGCAGAAGCGCTACCAGGACTGGTTCCAGCGGCAGTACCTGTCCCCATCCCTGTCCCCATGTCCCATACCTGTCCCCAGCTGTGTCCCCATGTCCCCAGGTGTGTCCCCAGCTGTGTCCCCATGTCCCATCCCTGTCCCCAGGTGCGCTTTGGGCAGCAGAAGCGCTACCAGGACTGGTTCCAGCGGCAGTACCTGTCCCCATCCCTGTCCCCATGTCCCATACCTGTCCCCAGCTGTGTCCCCATGTCCCCAGCTGTGTCCCCAGCTGTGTCCCCGTGTCCCATCCCTGTCCCCAGGTGCGCTTTGGGCAGCAGAAGCGTTATCAGGACTGGTTCCAGCGGCAGTACCTGTCCACCCCTGACAGCCAGTCCCTGCGCTGTGACCTGATCCGCTACATCTGCGGCGTGGTGCACCCGTCCAACGAGGTGCTGAGCTCGGACATCCTGCCCCGCTGGGCCATCATCGGCTGGCTGCTCACCACCTGCACGGTCAGAGCCCCAAAATGGGCTGGGGGAACCCCAAAAATGGGCTGGGAGAACCCAAAAATGGGGTACAGGGGTGGCTGCTCACCACCTGCACGGTCAGAGCCCCAAAATGGGCTGGGGGAACCCCAAAATGGGGTACAGGGGGTACAGGGCCATCATGGGCTGGCTGCTCACCACCTGCACGGTCAGAGCCCCAAAATGGGCTGGGGGAACCCAAAAATGGGGTACAGGGGTGGCTGCTCACCACCTGCACGGTCAGAGCCCCAAAATGGGCTGGGAGAACCCAAAAATGGGGTACAGGGGTGGCTGCTCACCACCTGCACGGTCAGAGCCCCAAAATGGGCTGGGGGAACCCCAAAATGGGGTACAGGGGGTACAGGGCCATCATGGGCTGGCTGCTCACCACCTGCACGGTCAGAGCCCCAAAATGGGCTGGGGGAACCCAAAAATGGGGTACAGGGTGCGCTGCTCACCACCTGCACGGTCAGAGCCCCAAAATGGGCTGGGAGAACCCAAAAATGGGGTACAGGGGTGGCTGCTCACCACCTGCACGGTCAGAGCCCCAAAATGGGCTGGGGGAACCCCAAAATGGGGTACAGGGGGTACAGGGCCATCATGGGCTGGCTGCTCACCACCTGCACGGTCAGAGCCCCAAAATGGGCTGGGGGAACCCAAAAATGGGGTACAGGGGTGGCTGCTCACCACCTGCACAGTGAGAACCCCAAAATGGGCTGGGAGAACCCAAAAATGGGCTGGGAGAACCCAAAAATGGGGTACAGGGGGTACAGGGCCATCATCGGCTGGCTGCTCACCACATGCACGGTGAGAACCCCAAAATGGGCTGGGGGAACCCCAAAATGGGGTACAGGGGTGGCTGCTCACCACCTGCACGGTGAGAGCCCCAAAAATGGGCTGGGGGAACCCCAAAATGGGGTACAGGGGGTACAGGGCCATCATCGGCTGGCTGCTCACTACCTGCACGGTGAGAACCCCAAAAATGGGGTACGGGGTGGGAGGAACCCCAAAAATGGGCTGGGAGAACCCAAAAATGGGGTACAGGGGGATGGGAGAAACCAAAAATGGGGTACAGGGTGGGGAAAACCCCAAAATGGGGTACAGGGGTGGCTGCTCACCACCTGCACGGTGAGAGCCCCAAAATGGGCTGGAAGAACTCCAAAATGGGTTGGGAGAACCCCAAAAATGGGGTACAGGGGGTACAGGGCCATCATCGGCTGGCTGCTCACCACCTGCACGGTCAGAACCCCAAAAATGGGGTACGGGGTGGGAGGAACCCCAAAAATGGGCTGGGGGAGCCCCAAAATGGGGTACAGGGGGATGGGAGAACCCAAAAATGGGTACAGGGCCATCATCGGCTGGCTGCTCACCACCTGCACGGTGAGAACCCCAAAATGGGCTGGGGGAACCCAAAAATGGGGTACAGGGTGGGGAAAACCCCAAAATGGGCTGGGAGAACCCCAAAAATGGGGTACCGGATGGGGAAAACCCCAAAATGGGGTATGGGGTGGGCTGGGAATGGGAACATCCCGAAAACAGGGGCAGGAACATCCCAAAAATGGTTCTTGGTGGGATCTCAGGGGGTTCTTGGTGGGACCTCAGGGGGTTCTTGGTGGGATCTCGAGGAATCTTGGTGGGATCTCAGGGGGTTCTTGGTGGGATCTCGAGGAATCTTGGTGGGATCTCAGGGGGTTCTTGGTGGGATCTCAGGGGGTTCTTGGTGGGATCTCAAGGAATCTTGAAGGAATCTTGGTGGGATCTCAGGGGATCTTGGAGGGGTCTCAGGGGATTCTTGGTGGAATCTCAGGGGGTTTTTAGAGGGATCTCAGGGGGTTCATGGTGGGGTCTCAGGGGGTTCTTGGGGGGATCCTGGTGGGATCTCAGCATGGTGTTCATGGGATATTTTGGGGGGTTTTGGTCTCGCGCAGTCCAACGTGGCCGCCTCCAACGCCAAGCTGGCTCTGTTCTACGATTGGCTCTTCTTCAACCCCGAGAAGGACAGCATCATGAACATCGGTGCGCGGGGCCGGCCGGGGTGGGATCCAGCTTGGGATGGGATCCTGAATTGTTCCTGGGATGGGATCCATGGAGATCTGCCTTGGGATGGGATCCTGGGTTTGATCCATGGGATGGGATCCATGGGGTGTTCCTGAGGATGGATCCATGAGATGTTCTTGGGGTTGGATCCTGGGGATGGATCCATGGGATGAGATCCATGGGATGTTCCTGAGATGGGATCCACCTTGGGGTGGGATCCTGGGGTGGGATCCATGGGATGGGATCCATGGGATGTTCCTAGGATGGGATCCATGAGAAGTTCCTGAGATGGGATCCATGGGATGTTCCTGAGATGGGATCCACCTTGGGATGGGATCCTGGCAGTTCCTGGGGTTGGATCCATGGGATGAGATCCATGAGATGTTCCTGGGGTGAGATCCACAGGGATCTGCCTTGGGATGGGATCCATGGGATGTTCCTGAGGATGGATCCATGGGATGTTCCTGGGCTTGGATCCACCTTGGAATGGGATTCATGAGATGTTCCTGGGGTTGGATCCATGGGATGAGATCCATGAGATGTTCCTGGGGTGAGATCCACAGGGATCTGCCATGAGATGTTCCTGAGGTGAAATCCGTGGGGATCCACCTTGGGATGGGATCCTGGGGTGGGATCCATGAGATGTTCCTGGGGTTGGATCCATGGGATGGGATCCATGGGCTGTTCCTGGGGATGGAATCCATGGGATTTTCCTGGGGTGGGATCCATGACATGTTCCTTGGATGGGATCCATGGAGATCCACCTTGGGTTGGGATCCTGGCAGTTCCTGGGATGGGATCCATGGAGGATCTGCCTTGGGATGGGATCCATGAGATGTTCCTGAGGATGGACCCATGAGATGTTCTTGGGGTTGGATCCTGGGGATGGATCCATGGGATGAGATCCATGGGGTGTTCCTGGGGTTGGATCCACCTTGGAATGGGATTCATGAGATGTTCCTGGTGTTGGATCCATGGGGATGGGATGGGATCCATGAAACGTTCCTGGGATGGGATCTATGGGATGTTCCTGTGATGGAATCCGTGGGTTGTTCCTGGGGTGAAATCCATGGGGATCCATCTTGGGATGGGATCCATGAGATGGGATGATCCTGGGGATGGATCCATGAGATGTTCCTAAGGTGAAATCCATGGGGATCCACCTTGGGATGGGATCCATGGGATGTTCTTGGGGTTGGATCCATGGGATGGGATGCATGGATGAGATCCATGAGATGTTCCTGGGGTTGGATCCATGAGATGTTCCTGGGATGGGATCCTGGCAGTTCCTGGGGTTGGATCCATGGGATGGGATCCATGAGATGTTCCTGAGGTGAAATCCATGGGGATCCACCTTGGGATGGGATTCTGGGCAGTTCCTGGAATGGGATCCAAGAGAAGTTTCTGGCATAGGATCCATGGGATGTTCCTGGGGATTTGGGGTCCAGGAGCAGGGATTTGGGGTGTTTGGGGTCCAGGAGCAGGGATTTGGGGTTTTTGGGGTGCAGGAGCAGGGATTTGGGGTGTTTGGGGTGCAGGAGCAGGGATTTGGGGTGTTTGGGGTCCAGGAGCAGGGATTTGGGGTTTTTGGGGTCCAGGAGCAGGGATTTGGGGTTTTTGGGGTGCAGGAGCAGGGATTTGGGGTTTTTGGGGTCTCACCCCATTGTTTCCCTCAGAACCTGCCATCCTGGTCATGCACCACTCCATGAAACCCCACCCGGCCATCACGGCCACGCTGCTGGACTTCATGTGCAGGGTGAGGAATCCTTCTTCTCCAGAAATCCCCCAAAAAAATCACCCCAAAAAATCACCCCAAAAAATTCCTCAAAAAAATTCCTCAAAAAAAGTCCTCAAAAAAATCCCCCCAAAAAATCCCAAAATTCCCCCCAAAAAAATCTCCTAAAAAAAATTTAAAAAAAAAATAATCCCCCCCAAAAAATCCCCCCCCCAAAAAAATCCCCCCAAAAAATCTCACAAAAATACCTAAAAAAAAATCCCCTAAAAAAAAATCCCACAAAAATCCCACAAAAAATCCCGTAAATAAATCCACCCCAAAAAATCCCCCCAAAAAAAAACCCTAAAAAATGCCCCCCAAAAAATAAAAAAAAATCCCCTAAAAACCCCCTAAAAAATCCCCCCCAAAAAATAAAAAAAAATCCCCAAAAAATTCCCCCCAAAAAATTCCCAAAAAAAAAAAAAAATCCCCAAAACGATCCCCATAAAAATCACAAAAAAATCACAAAAAATCACCAAAAAATCACAAAAAAATCCCCTAAAAAAACCTCAATTTTTTTTCTCTAACCTTCCTCTCTCCCTCCCTGTTTTTCCCAGATCATTCCCAACTTTTACCCCCCTCTGGAGGCGCACGTCCGCCAGGGCGTCTTCAACTCCCTCACGCACATCGTGGAGAAGCGAGTCCTGGCGTAAGAATTCCCAATTTTCCCAGATTTCCCTGAATTTCCAGCTGCTCCCAACTGCCCTGGGCCTCTCCTGGAGCTTTGGGGTTATCCAGGAAAATTTGGGGTCAGAAGGGTTGGAGTGGGGGGAAAGAGAAAATTGGGATTTTTTAGGAATTTCAGCCTCTTTTCCCATTCCCATGTTCAGGTGAGGGGATCCCAAAGATCATGAGGGAAAAGGGATGAGGGAAAAGAGGGAATTGGGATTTTAGGGATTGGGAAAAGAGGGAATTGGGATTTCCCAGGAAAATTTCCCCTTTTCCCATTGAGGGAATCCCAATGGCCATGAGGGAAAAGAGAAAATTGGGATTTTTCAGGAATTCCAGCCCCTTTTCCCATTCCCATTTTCTGGTGAGGGGATCCCAAAAACCATGAGGGAAAAGGGATGGGGGAAAAGAGAAAATTTGGGATTTTTCAGCCCAATTTTCCAGCCCCTTTTCCCTTTCCCATTCCCATGTTCAGGTGAGGGGATCCCCAAGATCATGAGGGAAAAGGGATGGGGGGAAAGAGAAAATTGGGATTTTCCAGGAAAATTTCCCCATTTCCCATTGAGGGGATCCCCAATGACCACGAGGGAAAAGAGAAAATTGGGATTTTTCAGGAATTCCATCCCCTTTTCCCATTCCCATTTTCTGGTGAGGGGATCCCAAAGATCATGAGGGAAAAGGGATGGGGGAAAAGAGGAATTTGGGATTTTTCAGGAATTCCAGCCTCTTTTCCCATTCCCATTTTCTGGTGGCACAGGTGAGGGGATCCCAAAAACCATGAGGGAAAAGGGATTGGGGAAAAGAGAAAAATTGGGATTTTCCATCCCCTTTTCCCATTCCCATTTTCTGGTGAGGGTATCCCAAAGATCATGAGGGAAAAGGGATGAGGGAAAAGAGAAAATTGAGATTTTCCAGGAAAATTTCCCCATTTCCCATTGAGGGGATCCCCAATGACCATGAGGGAAAAGAGAAAATTGAGATTTTCCAGGAAAATTTCCCCTTTTCCCATTGAGGGGATCCCCAATGACCACGAGGGAAAAGAGAAAATTGGGATTTTTCAGGAATTCCAGCCCCTTTTCCCATTCCCATTTTCTCGTGAGGGGATCCCAAAAACCATGAGGGAAAAAGGATTGGGGAAAAGAGAAAATTTGGGACTTTTCAGCCCAATTTTCCAGCCCCTTTTCCCATTCCCGTGTTCAGGTGAGGGGATCCCAAAGACCATGAGGGAAAAGAGAAAATTGGGATTTTCCAGGAATTCCAGGACCGGTGGGATGAGGCCCCATCCCAGCTCTGATCCCAAATTTAGGAGGAATTTTCCCAAATTTCAGTGGCATTTTCCCAAATTTCAGTGGAATTTTCCCAAATTTAGGTGGAATTTTCCCAAATTTCAGTGGAATTTCCCCAAATTTCAGTGGAATTTTCCCAAATTTAGGAGGAATTTTCCCAATTTTTCCCCTCCCAGGCACCTGGCCCCGCTCTTTGACAACCCCAAACTGGACAAGGAGCTCCGGGCGATGCTCCGGGAGAAATTTCCGGAATTCTGCAGCTCCCCCTCGCCCCCCATGGAAGGTTGGGAATGAAATTGGGAATTTTGGGAATTAAATTGGGATTTTTGGGAGTTAAATTGGGATTTTGGGGATTTAAATTGGGGATTTGGGAGTTAAATTGGGATTTTGGGGATTTAAATTAGGGATTAAATTTGGGAATTAAATTGGAATTTTGGGGGATTAAATTGGGGTTTTGGGGATTAAATTGGGGATTAAATTGGGGAATTAAATTGGGATTTGGCGGAATTAAATTGGGATTTGGCGGAATTAAATGGGGATTTTGGGGATTAAATTGGGGAATTAAATTGGGATTTTTGGGGAGTTAATTAAATTGGGATTTTGAGGGATTAAATTAGGATTTTGGGGAATTAAATTGGGGATTAAATTGGGATTTTGGGGGATTAAATTGGGATTCTGGGGAGTTAAATTGGGGAATTAAATTGGGGAATAAATTGGGATTTTGGGGAGTTAAATTGGGGAATTTTTGGGAATTAAATTGGGATTTTTGGGAGTTAAATCGGGATTTTAGGGGATTAATTAAATTGGGATTTTGAGGATTAAATTGGGGTTTTGGGGGGGATTAAACTGGGATTTTTGGGGAATTAAATCGGGATTTTTGGGGAATTAAGTTGGGGTTTTTGGTACAGTGAAAATCGAGGAGCCCGTTGCCATGGAGATGGAGAATCACCTGGAGAAGGATGACGGTTGCTATGACAACGCCGAGGCCGCCTTCAGTGACGACGAGGAGGAGCTGAGCAGCAAAGGGGGTGAGGGAGGCCCTGGCGCTGCCCTGGGACACCCACGGGGCACAACGGGCTGAAAAAATCCATCAAAAACCCAAAAACCAGGAGCTGATCCTGGTGGGGATCCCCAGATTCCCAAATCCCAGGAACTGATCCCACTGGAAATCCCAAATTTCCTCCTCCAGGGGCTGATTCCCAAATCCCAGGAGGTGATGCCCAAAAATCAGGAGCTGATCCTGGTGGGGATTCCCAGATTCCCAAATCCCAGGAACTGATCTCACTGGAAAATCCCAGATTCCCAAATCCCAGGAGCTGATCCCACTGGAAATCCCAAATTTCCTCCTCCAGGGGCTGATTCCCAAATCCCAGGAGGTGATGCCCAAAAATCAGGAGCAGATCCCACTGGGAAATCCCAGATTCCCAAATCCCAAGAGCTGATCCCGGTGGGAAATCCCAGATTTCCTCCTGCAGGGAGACCTGGAGGAGCTGATTCCCAAATCCCAGGAGCCAATTCCCAAAAATCAGGAGCTGATCCCACTGGGAAATCCCAGATTTTGTCCTACAGGAGCTGATTCCCAAATCCCAAGAGCTGATCCCACTGGGAAATCCCAAATTTCCTCTTTAGGGAGGATCTGGAGGAGCTGATTCCCAAAAATCAGGAGCTGATTCCGCTGGGAAATCCCAGATTCCCAAATCCCAGGAGCTGATCCTGGTGGGGATTCCCAGATTCCCAAATCCCAGGAGCTGATCCTGGTGGGGATTCCCAGATTCCCAAATCCCAGGAGCTGATTCCCAAAAATCAGGAGCTGATCCCACTGGGAAATGCCAAATTTCCTCCTCCAGGGGCTGATTCCCAAATCCCAGGAGCAGATCCTGGTGGAGATTCCCAGATTTCCTTGGCAGGGAGGCTCTGGAGGAGCTGATTCCCAAAAATCAGGAGCAGGAGCTGGGAGATCCCAGATTTCTCCTGCAGGAGCAGATACCCAAAAATCAGGAGCTGATTCCCAAAAATCAGGAGCTGATCCCACTGGAAATCCCAGATTTCCTCTTGCAGGGGCTGATTCCCAAATTCCAGGAGCTGATTCCTAAAAATCAGGAGCTGGTTCCCAAATCCCAAGAGCTGATTCCACTGGGAAATTCCAGATTTCTTCAGGAGGCTCTGGAGGAGCTGATTCCCAAAAATCAGCAGCTGATCCCGCTGGGAAATCCCAAATTTCTTCCTGCAGGGGGATCTATAGGAGCTGATTCCCAAATCCCCAGGAGCCGATTCCCAAAAATCAGGAGCTGATCCCACTGGGAAATCCCAAATTTCCTCCTGTAGGAGCTGATTCCCAAATCCCAGGAGCCGATTCCCGAATCCGTGATTCTGGATCCGTTCCCACAACATTTGTTCCCTTTCCTGGGCTGTTCCCAGGAGCTCAGAGCATTTTCCCACCCAGATCCCCTCTGGAGCCATTCCCATCCTCGCTGGTCGGATCCCTGTGAATTCCCACTGTTCCGGGGGGTTTGGGGCACAGGGTGGGGCCTGGGAACCCCAATCCCAAATTGTGCCTCCTTGGAACGTTGGAGGGTCAAATTTGGGAACCCCAATCCCAAATTGTTCCTCCTTGGAGACGCCTTGGGAACGTTGGAATGTCAAATTTGGGAACCCCAATCCCAAATTTTGCCTCCTTGGAGACACCTTGGGAACGTTGGAGGATCAGACTTGGGAATGGGGAACTCCAATCCCAAATTGTTCCTCCTTGGAGACGCCTTGGGAACGTTGGAATGTCAAATTTGGGAACCCCAATCCCAAATTTTGCCTCCTTGGAGACACCTTGGGAACGTTGGGGGGTCAGACTTGGGAATGGGGAACTCCAATCCCAAATTGTGCCTCCTTGGAGACGCCTTGGGAACGTTGGAATGTCAAATTTGGGAACCCCAATCCCAAATTGTTCCTCCTTGGAGACACCTTGGGAACGTTGGAATGTCAAATTTGGGAACCCCAATCCCAAATTTTGCCTCCTTGGACACGCCTTGGGAACGTTGGAATGTCAAATTTGGGAACCCCAATCCCAAATTTTGCTTCCTTGGACACACCTTGGGAACGTTGGAATGTCAAATTTGGGAACCCCAATCCCAAATTGTGCCTCCTTGGAGACGCCTTGGGAACGTTGGAATGTCAAATTTGGGAACCCCAATCCCAAATTTTGCCTCCTTGGAGACGCCTTGGGAACGTTGGAATGTCAAATTTGGGAATCCCAATCCCAATTTGTTCCTCCTTGGAGACACCTTGGGAACGTTGGAGGATCAGGGTTGGGAATGGGGAACTCCAATCCCAAATTGTGCCTCCTTGGAGACGCCTTGGGAACGTTGGAATGTCAAATTTGGGAACCCCAATCCCAAATTTTGCCTCCTTGGAGACGCCTTGGGAATGTTGAAATATCAAATTTGGGAACCCCAATCCCAATTTGTTCCTCCTTGGAGACACCTTGGGAACGTTGGAGGATCAGGGTTGGGAATGGGGAGAGCCTCAATCCCAAATTGTGCCTCCTTGGAGAGTCAGATTTGGAAACGGGGAGTCCCAATCCCAAGTTTTGCCCCCTTGGAGACGCCTTGGGAATGTTGGAGGGTCAGATTTGGGAATGGGACTGAGCAGGGATCACAATCCCGGACGTTCCCAGCCCTGGCTCCAGGGATGGCTGGGAAGGAGGAGGATCCCAGGGAATTCCTGGTGGAATGAGGGGAATTCCTGCTGGAATCCCAGGGAATTCCTGGTTTCAGGCAAGAAGAGGGAGTTCCGGTTCCATCCCATCAAGGAATCCATCGTGGAGGAGCCCGTGGACATCACCCCGTTCCTGGAGCAGCTGGACGAGTCCCTGAGGGACAAAGTGCTGCAGCTGCAGAAGGGCAGGTGGGGACACCCCCGTTTCCCAATCCCCATCCCATCCCACTCCTATTCCCATATTTCCATTGCCATTCCCAACCATTCCCATCCCATTCCCCTTCCAATCCCACTCCTAATCCTGCTCCCATTCCCGATCCCATTCCTATTCCTGTTCCCATTCCCATCTCATTCCAATTCCCATTCCCATTTCCATTCCTTCTCCCATTTCTCAATGCCATTCCCATCCCAATCCTGTTCCCATTCCGTTCCATTCCTAATCCCATTCCCAATCCCATTCCCATCCCAATCCTGTTCCCGATCCCGTTCCCACTCCTATTCCCATTCTCAATCCCACTCCATTCCCATTCCATCCCTTTCCCCATTCCCCATTCCATTCCCAATCTCAATCCCATCCCATTCCCATTCCTTTTCCCAATCCCATTCCCATTCCACTCCCATTCCCATCCCATTCCCCTTCCCATTCCCATTCCTTTTCCCAGTCCCATTCCCATCCCAATCCATTCCCAATCCATTCCCAATCCCATTCCCATCCCATTCTCCTTCCATTCCCATTCCCAGTGCTCCCAGTGCTCCCATTAAAATCCCGCTTTTAATCCTGGAATTCATCCCCTCCTCTGGAATCTGCGCACCCGGGCCTCCCCCAGAGCCAGCCCTGACCCTGTCCCAGCGCTCCCATTCAGTGTTCCCAGTGCTCCCAGTGCTCCCAGTGCTCCCAGTGCCTCTCCCAGTGCTCCCATTAGAGGCTCCCAGTGCCCCTCCCAGTGTTCCCAGCGCTCCCATTCAGTGTTCCCAGTGCTCCCAGTGCTCCCAGTGCTCCCAGTGCCCCTCCCAGTGCTCCCATTAGAGGCTCCCAGTGCCCCTCCCAGTGTTCCCAGTGCTCCCATTCAGTGTTCCCAGTGTTCCCAGTGCTCCCAGTGCCCCTCCCAGTGCTCCCATTCAGTGCTCCTCCCAGTGCTCCCATTAGAGGCTCCCAGTGTTCCCAGCGCTCCCATTCAGTGTTCCCAGTGTTCCCAGTGCTCCCAGTGCCTCTCCCAGTGCTCCCAGTGCCCCTCCCAGTGTTCCCAGTGCTCGCAGTGCCCCTCCCAGTGCTCCCAGTGCCTCTCCCAGTGTTCCCAGTGCCCCTCCCAGTGCCCCTCCCAGTGTTCCCAGTGCTCGCAGTGCCCCTCCCAGTGCTCCCAGTGCCCCTCCCAGTGTTCCCAGTGCCCCTCCCAGTGTTCCCAGTGCCCCTCCCAGTGCTCCCAGTGCCCCTCCCAGTGCCCCTCCCAGTGTTCCCAGTGCTCGCAGTGCCCCTCCCAGTGCTCCCAGTGCCCCTCCCAGTGTTCCCAGTGCCCCTCCCAGTGTTCCCAGTGCCCCTCCCAGTGCTCCCAGTGCTCCCATTCAGTGCTCCCAGTGCCTCTCCCAGTGCTCCCAGTCAGGGTCTGTTCCTGTCCCTGCAGTGACACGGAGGCGCAGTGCGAGGTCATGCAGGAGATCGTGGATCAGGTGCTGGAGGTAACGGAGCCACGCTGGGATCTGGGGTCCATCTTGGGTGGGATCTGGGATCCATCTTGGGTGGGATCTGGGGTCCATCTTGGGTAGGATCTGGGGTCCATCTTGGGTGGGACCTGGGACCATCTTGGGGAGAATCCGGGATCTGTCCTGGGTGGGGTCTGGAATTAATCCTAGGGGGGATCTGGGATCTGTCACGGGTGGGATTTGGGATCCGTCCCTGGCAGGATCTGGGATCCATCCCAGCTGGGGTTTGGGATTCATCGTGGGCGAGATCTGGGGTCCATCCTGGCAGTGATTTGGGATCCCTGGTGCTGGAACCCCTCCGGAGCAGCCTGGGATCCGTTCCTGTGCCCCCTCCCTGTGCCAGGATCTGTTCCTGTGCCCCGTCCCTGTGCCAGGATCCGTTCCTGTGCCAGGATCCGTTCCTGTGCCCCCTCCCTGTGCCAGGATCAGTTCCTGTGCCAGGATCCGTTCCTGTGCCAGGATCCGTTCCTGTGCCCCCTCCCTGTGCCAGGATCAGTTCCTGTGCCCTTTCCCTGTGCCAGGATCCATTCCTGTGCCCTTTCCCTGTGCCAGGATCCGTTCCTGTGCCCCGTCCCTGTGCCAGGATCCGTTCCTGTGCCCCGTCCCTGTGCCAGGATCAGTCCCTGTGCCAGGATCCGTTCCTGTGCCCCCTCCCTGTGCCAGGATCAGTTCCTGTGCCAGGATCCGTTCCTGTGCCAGGATCCGTTCCTGTGCCCCCTCCCTGTGCCAGGATCTGTTCCTGTGCCCCGTCCCTGTGCCAGGATCCGTTCCTGTGCCAGGATCCGTTCCTGTGCCCCCTCCCTGTGCCAGGATCTGTTCCTGTGCCCCGTCCCTGTGCCAGGATCCGTTCCTGTGCCAGGATCCGTTCCTGTGCCCCCTCCCTGTGCCAGGATCCATTCCTGTGCCCCCTCCCTGTGCCAGGATCAGTTCCTGTGCCCTTTCCCTGTGCCAGGATCAGTTCCTGTGCCCCCTCCCTGTGCCAGGATCCGTTCCTGTGCCAGGATCCGTTCCTGTGCCCTTTCCCTGTGCCAGGATCAGTTCCTGTGCCCTGCCCCATGCCAGGATCCGTTCCTGTGCCCCCTCCCTGTGCCTGGATCAGTCCCTGTGCCCTTTCCCCGTGCCAGGATCCCTTCCTGTGCCCTTTCCCTGTGCCAGGATCCATTCCTGTGCCCCCTCCCTGTGCCAGGATCTGTTCCTGTGCCCCCTCCCTGTGCCAGGATCAGTCCCTGTGCCCTTTCCCCGTGCCAGGATCCGTTCCTGTGCCCTGCCCTGTGCCAGGGTCCATCCCTGAGCCCCTCTCTCCCTTTGCAGGAGGATTTTGACTCGGAGCAGCTCTCGGTGCTCGCCTCGTGCCTGCAGGAGCTCTTCAAGGCCCATTTCCGTGGGGAGGTGCTGCCGGAGGAGATCACGGAGGAGTACGGGCTGGGAGAGCTCGGAGAGGGACCCGGGGCTGTTCTGTGCCAGTCCTGGGAAACCCAGAGGGACCCGGGGCTGTTCTGTGCCAATCCTGGGAAACCCAGAGGGACCCGGGGCTGTTCTGTGCCAATCCTGGGAAACCCAGAGGGACCCGGGGCTGTTCCTGTGCCAATCCTGGGAAACCCAGAGGGACCCGGGGCTGTTCTGTGCCAATCCTGGGAAACCCAGAGGGACCCGGGGCTGTTCTGTGCCAATCCTGGGAAACCCAGAGGGACCCGGGGCTGTTCCTGTGCCATTCCTGGGAAAACTCAGAGGAATTCAGGGCTGTTCCTCTCCCATTTTCTGGAAAATCCAGAGGGACCCAGGGCTGTTCCCCAGGGCTGTTCCTGTGCCATTCCTGGGAAAACTGAGTGGGATCCAGGGCTGTTCCCATTCCTGGGAAATCCTGAAGGGATCCAGGAGTGTTCCTTTTTGTCATTCCTGGGAAAACCCAGAGGGGCCCAGGGCCGTTCCTGTGCTCCCAATGGGATCCAGGGCTGTTCCCATTCCCAGGAAAACCCAGAGGGATCCAGGGCTGTTCCTTTGTCATTCCTGGAAAACTCAGAGGAATTCAGGGCTGTTCCTGTCCCATTTCCTGGGAAAATTCAGAGGAATTCAAGGTTGTTCCCATTCCTGGGAAAACTCAGAGGGATCCAGGGCTGCTCCTGTGCCATTCCTGGGAAATCCTGGAGGGATCCAGGGCTGTTCCTGGGCTCCCAATGGGGTCCAGGGCTGTTCCCATTCCCAGGAAAATCCAGAGGGATCCAGGACTGTTCCTGTCCCATTTCCTGGGAAGATTCAGAGGAATTCAAGGTTGTTCCCATTCCTGGGAAATCCAGAGGGATCCAGGGTTGTTCCTCTTCCATTCCTGGGAAATCCTGAAGGGATCCAGGGCTGTTCCTGTTCCCATTCCTGGGAAAACCCATAGGAATTCAGGGTTGTTCCTATTCCTGGGAAAACCTGGAGGGCTTGAGCAGCCAGAAGGATCCAGGGCTATTCCTTTGTCCTTCCTGGAAAACTCAGAGGAATTCAGGGCTGTTCCTCTCCCATTTCCTGGAAAATCCAGAGGGACCCAGGGCTGTTCCCCAGGGCTGTTCCTGTCCCATTTCCTGGGAAAATTCAGAGGAATTCAGGGTTGTTCCCATTCCTGGGAAATCCTGGAGGGACCCAGGGCCGTTCCCATTCCCAGGAAAACCCAGAGAGGACTGTTCCCATTTCCTGTGGAAAACTCAGCAAGGTCCAGGGATATTCCTGTTCCCATTCCTGGGAGAAACCCAGAGGGATCCAGGGCTGCTCCTGTGCCATTCCCCGGAGCTCAGAGTGTCCGTCTGTCTGTCCCCAGGTCCCTGGAGGAGTCCGTGGGGAAGCCCCTGTACCTGATATTCCGGTACGTCCCTTCCCGAACCCTCGGGAATTCCCGGCCTCCCATCCCATTCCTGGTGGGAAATCCAGGATTTTTCGGGGATTTTGAGGGTTTTTTGGGTTTTTTTGGGGTTTTTTTTAGTTTTTTGGGGTTTTTGGTCCCCGTTATCCCAGTGACATTCCCGCTGTTCCCAAGGAACCTGTGCCAGATGCAGGAGGACAACAGCGCTGCTGGACCTGCTCTCGGAGCTCATTCCCAGTGGGAAATCCGGGATTTTTGGGTTTTTTGGGGGGGTTTTGGCGGTTTTTTGGGGGTTTTTGGGAGGTTTTGGGTTTTTTGGGGTGTTTGGTCCCCGTTATCCCAGTGACATTCCCGCTGTCCCCAAGGAACCTGTGCCAGATGCAGGAGGACAACAGCGGCTTCTCGCTGCTGCTGGACCTGCTCTCGGAGCTCTACCAGAAGCAGCCCAAGATCGGATACCACCTGCTCTACTACCTGAGGGCCAGGTGAGGCCACGCCCTGCGCTGGCTCCGCCCCCTCAGATGGGCCACGCCCTGCTCTGACTCCTCCCCCTCAGATGGGCCACGCCCTGCTCTGACTCCTCCCCTCAGATGGGCCATGCCCTGTGCTGGCTCCGCCCCCTCAGATGGGCCACGCCCTGCTCTGACTCCTCCCCTCAGATGGGCCACGCCCTGCTCTGACTCCTCCCCTCAGACGGGCCATGCCCTGTGCTAGCCCCGCCCCCTCAGCTGGGCCACGCCCTGCTCTGACTCCTCCCCCTCAGCTGGGCCACGCCCTGCTCTGACTCCTCCCCCTCAGATGGGCCACGCCCTGCTCTGACTCCTCCCCTCAGCTGGGCCACGCCCTGTGCTGGCTCCGCCCCCTCAGATGGGCCACGCCCTGCTCTGACTCCTCCCCTCAGATGGGCCACGCCCTGTGCTGGCTCCGCCCCCTCAGATGGGCCACGCCCTGCTCTAACTCCTCCCCTCAGATGGGCCACGCCCTGCTCTGACTCCTCCCCTCCGATGGGCCACGCCCTGTGCTGGCTCCGCCCCCTCAGATGGGCCACGCCCTGCTCTGACTCCTCCCCTCAGCTGGGCCACGCCCTGTGCTGGCTCCGCCCCCTCAGATGGGCCACGCCCTGCTCTGACTCCTCCCTCCCTCCTGTGACTCCTCCCCTTCATCTGGGCCCCACCTTCTCACCCTGACCCTGCCCTGCTCTGACTCCTCCCCCTCACCTCAGCCCCGCCCTCTTCCCTGGGCACCTCCCGTGCCTGTGCCTGTCCCTGTTCCCAGTGGCAGCATGAGCCAGGTGTGCCAGCTGTGCCAGGTGTGTGCCGCGTGTGTGCCAGGTGTGTGCCAGGTGTGTCCCAGCAGTGCCAGGTGTGTGTCAGTTGCGTCAGCTGTGTCCCAGCGGTGCCAGGTGTGCCAGGTGTGTGTTAGCTGTGCCAGGTGTGTCCGAGCAGTACCAGGTGTGTGCCAGGTGTGTGCCAGCAGTGCCAGGTGTGCCCAGGTGCGCCAGGTTTGCTCTGTCCCCAGCAAGGCGGCGCTGGGCAGGATGGCGCTCTGTGAGTGTGCCAGGTGTGCCCAGGTGTGCCAGGTGTGCCCTGTGTCCCCAGCAAGGCGGCGCTGGGCAGGATGGCGCTCTGTGAGTGTGTTAGCTGTGTGCCAGGTGTCCAGGTGCCAGGTGTGCCCAGGTGCCAGGTGCTCTCTATCCCCAGCAAGGCGGCGCTGGGCAGGATGGCGCTGTATGAGTGTGCCAGGTGTGCCCAGGTGTGCCAGGTGTGCCCTGTGTCCCCAGCAAGGTGGCGCTGGGCAGGATGGCGCTGTATGAGTGTGTTAGGTGTATCCCAGCCCTGCCAGGTGCCCAGGTGTGCCAGGTTTGCTCTGTGTCCCCAGCAAGGCGGCGCTGGGCAGGATGGCGCTCTGTGAGTGTGCCAGGTGTGCCCAGGTGTGCCAGGTGTGCCCTGTGTCCCCAGCAAGGCGGCGCTGGGCAGGATGGCGCTCTACGAGTCCTTTGCCCAGGCCACGCAGCTGGGCGAGCTGCACACGTGCCTCATGATGGACATGAAGGCGTGCCAGGAGGACGACGTGCGCCTGCTCTGCTTCCTCACGCCCTCCATCTACACCGAGGTGAGCGCTCACCTGCCCAGGCGTGCCCTGAGTGCCATCCCGGGGGAGCCCTGAGTGCCAGGGGTGCCCAAAATCCCGTCCCAGGTGTGCCCAAAATCCCATCCTAGGGGAGCTCTGAGTGATAGGTGTGCCCAGAATCCTGTCCCAGGGGTGCCCTGAGTGCCAGGGGTGCCCAAAATCCCGTCCCAGGTGTGCCCAAAATCCCATTCCTGGTGTTCCCCAAGTCCTGTTCCTGTTGTGCCCAAAATGCCATCCCAGGTGTGCCCCAAATCCTGTTCCTGGTGTGTCTGAGCCCGTCCCAGGTGTGCCCAAAATCCTGGCCCGAATGTGCCCCGAGTTTTTTTCCCTGGTGTGCCCCAAATCCCATTCCTGGTGTGCCCCAAGTCCTGTCCCAGGTGTGTCCCAGGTCCCATCTCAGGGGTGCCCAAAATCCCATCCCAGGTGTGCCCCAGGTCCCATCCCAGCTGTGCTTGCAGCAGAGAATCCCTAAAATTCTCTCTAAATTCAGAGAATCCCCGAAAAAATTCTCTCTAAATTCAGAGAATCCCTGAAAAAATTCTCTCTAAATTCAGAAACCCGCAGCCCTGGAATGTGCAGCTGGATCCCTGCCCATCCTTGGGATCCATCCCCGGGCAGGATCCCAGTGTTCCCCACACTGATCCCAAATCCAGGATCCATCCCAGGGCAGGATCCCATTGTTCCCCACACTGATCCCAAATCCAGGATCCATCCCAGGGCAGGATCCCATTGTTCCCCACACTGATCCCAAATCCAGGATCCATCCCAGGGCAGGATCCCACTGTTTCCTGTGCCGATCCCAAATCCAGGATCCATCCAGGGATGGATCCCAGTGTTCCCCACACTGATCCCAAATCCAGGATCCATCCCAGGGCAGGATCCCACTGTTTCCTGTGCCGATCCCAAATCCAGGATCCATCCAGGGATGGATCCCATTGTTCCCCACACTGATCCCAAATCCAGGATCCATCTTAGGGCAGGCTCAGGCTGTTCCCTGCACTGATCCCAAATCCCAGGGCAGGATCCCATTGTTCCCCACACTGATCCCAAATCCAGGATCCATCCCAGGCTGTTCCTGCGCTGATCCCAAATCCCAGGGCAGGATCCCATTGTTCCCCACACTAATCCCAAATCCAGGATCCATCCCAGAGCAGGATCCCAGTGTTCCCTACACTGATCCCAAATCCAGGATCCATCCCAGGGCAGGATCCCACTGTTCCTGTGCTGATCCCAAATCCAGGATCCATCCCAGGGCAGGATCCCAGTGTTCCTGTGCTGATCCCAAATCCAGGATCCATCCCAGGGCAGGATCCCAGTGTTCCTGTGCTGATCCCAAATCCAGGATCCATCCAGGGCAGGCTCAGGCTGTTCCCTGCACTGATCCAAATCCCAGGGCAGGATCCCATTGTTCCCCACACTGATCCCAAATCCAGGATCCATCCAGGGCAGGCTCAGGCTGTTCCCTGCACTGATCCCAAATCCCAGGGCAGGATCCCATTGTTCCCTACACTGATCCCAAATCCAGGATCCCATCCCAAATCCAGGATCCATCCCAGAGCAGGATCCCATTGTTCCCTGTGCTGATCCCAAATCCAGGATCCATCTTAGGGCAGGCTCAGGCTGTTCCCTGCACTGATCCCAAATCCCAGGGCAGGATCCCATTGTTCCCTACACTGATCCCAAATCCAGGATCCATCCAGGGCAGGCTCAGGCTGTTCCCTGCACTGATCCCAAATCCCAGAGCAGGATCCCATTGTTCCCCACACTGATCCCAAATCCAGGATCCATCCAGGCAGGCTCAGCTGTTTTTCCACACTGATCCCAAATCCAGGATCCATCCCACATCCCGTCCCTCTCCCGCCGTTCCCGCCCCTGGCTCCTGCCCTGATTGATTTTGTGTTTCCTGCGGAGCAGAGCCAGGAAAAAGGGAAAAAAACCGGGAATTCCGGGAATTCCAGAGCCCTGGCTCACGGCTGCCCCCCGATGGAAACTTTGGGGATTTTGGGACGGCTCTCCCTGCCTGATTTGGGATTTTGTGCATTCCCGGTTTGGGTTTTGTGCATTCCCAGTTTGGGGTTTTGTGAATTCCCAGTTTGGGGTTTTGTGAATTCCCGGTTTGGGATTTTGTGCATTCCCAGTTTGGGATTTTGTGCATTCCCAGTTTGATTTTGTGCATTCTCAATTTGGGATTTTGTGCATTCCCAGTTTGGAATTCGTGCATTCCCTTTTGGGATTTTGTGCGTTCCCAATTGGGATTTTGTGCATTCCCAGTTTGATTTTGTGCGTTCCCAATTTGGGATTTTGTGCATTCCCAGTTTGATTTTGTGCATTCCCGGTTTGGGATTTTGTGCATTCCCGGTTTGGGTTTTGTGCATTCCCAGTTTGATTTTGTGCATTCCCAGATTGGGTTTTGTGCACTCCCAGTTTGCAATTCATGCATTCCTTTTGGGATTTTGTGCATTCCCAGTTTGATTTTGTGCATTCCCAGTTTGGGATTTTGTGAATTCCCAGTTTGATTTTGTGAATTCCCAGTTTGATTTTGTGCATTCTCAATTGGGATTTTGTGCATTCCCAGTTTGGAATTTGTGCATTCCCTTTTGGGATTTTTTGCATTCCCAGTTTGGGTTTTTTTGCATTCCCAGTTTGATTTTGTGCATTCCCAGTTTGGGTTTTTGCATTCCCAGTTTGATTTTGTGCATTCCCAGTTTGGGATTTTGTGCATTCCCAGTTTGGGATTTTGTGCATTCCCAGTTTGATTTTGTTCGTTCCCAGTTTCCCAGATGAGACCCTGAGGAGCGGGGAGCTGCTGAACATGATCGTGGCTGTCATCGACTCCTTCCAGGTGAGGGGGATCCTCCCTTCCCCTTTCTGGGAAATTTAACCCAAAATGAGCCATCCATGGCCCCAATCCTGGGAAATTTAACCCAAAATGAGCCATCCATGGCCCCAATCCTGGGGAATTTAACCCCAAAATGAGCCATCCATGGCCCCAATCTGGGGAATTTAACCCCAAAATGAGCCATCCATGGCCCCAATCCTGGGGAATTTAACCCCAAAATGAGCCATCCATGGCCCCAATCCTGGGGAATTAACCCCAAAATGAGCCATCCATGGCCCCAATCCTGGGGAATTTAACCCCAAAATGAGCCATCCATGGCCCCAATCCTGGGGAATTTAACCCCAAAATGAGCCATCCATGGCCCCAATCCTGGGGAATTTAACCCCAAAATGAGCCATCCATGGCCCCAATCCTGGGGAATTTAACCCCAAAATGAGCCATCCATGGCCCCAATCCTGGGAAATTTAACCCAAAATGAGCCATCCATGGCCCCAATCCTGGGGAATTTAACCCAAAATGAGCCATCCATGGCCCCAATCCTGGGGAATTTAACCCCAAAATGAGCCATCCATGGCCCCAATCCTGGGGAATTTAACCCCCAAAATGAGCCATCCATGGCCCCAATCCTGGGGAATTTAACCCCAAAATGAGCCATCCATGGCCCCAATCCTGGGAATTTAACCCCAAAATGAGCCATCCATGGCCCCAAACCCTGGGGAATTTAACCCCAAAATGAGCCATCCATGGCCCCAATCCTGGGGAATTTAACCCCAAAATGAGCCATCCATGGCCCCAATCCTGGGAATTTAACCCCAAAATGAGCCATCCATGGCCCCAATCCTGGGGAATTTAACCCCAAAATGAGCCATCCATGGCCCCAATCCTGGGGAATTTAACCCCAAAATGAGCCATCCATGGCCCCAATCCTGGGAAATTTAACCCAAAATGAGCCATCCATGGCCCCAATCCTGGGAATTTAACCCCAAAATGAGCCATCCATGGCCCCAATCCTGGGGAATTTAACCCCAAAATGAGCCATCCATGGCCCCAATCCTGGGGAATTTACCCCAAAATGAGCCATCCATGGCCCCAATCCTGGGGAATTAACCCCAAAATGAGCCATCCATGGCCCCAATCCTGGGAATTTAACCCCAAAATGAGCCATCCATGGCCCCAATCCTGGGGAATTTAACCCCAAAATGAGCCATCCATGGCCCCAATCCTGGGAAATTTAACCAAAATGAGCCATCCATGGCCCCAATCCTGGGGAATTTAACCCAAAATGAGCCATCCATGGCCCCAATCCTGGGGAATTTAACCCCAAAATGAGCATCCATGGCCCCAATCCTGGGGAATTTAACCCCAAAATGAGCCATCCATGGCCCCAATCCTGGGAATTTAACCCCAAAATGAGCCATCCATGGCCCCAATCCTGGGAAATTTAACCCAAAATGAGCCATCCATGGCCCCCAATCCTGGGGAATTTAACCCAAAATGAGCCATCCATGGCCCCAATCCTGGGAATTTAACCCCAAAATGAGCCATCCATGGCCCCAATCCTGGGGAATTTAACCCCAAAATGAGCCATCCATGCCCCAATCCTGGGGAATTTAACCCCAAAATGAGCCATCCATGGCCCCAATCCTGGGGAATTTAACCCCAAAATGAGCCATCCATGGCCCCAAACCTGGGGAATTTAACCCCAAAATGAGCCATCCATGGCCCCAATCCTCTCCTAAATCCCCTGGTCCAAAGGTCGATCCCACGGGATCTCCTGCAGAGCCATTTCCTGGGCAATCAGCGCTAATTACCTCATTACCCCTAATGAGCCCCTCGTGGCTCTGCCTGGCCCGGAATTTGCTGGGAGAACCCAAAAACAGAACCCGAAAATTCACCAGGGGGCGCCTCTGGAATGGCACCCCCTGACCCCATTCCCTGTCCCCCATCCCAGGGAATGGTGCTGGCTCTGTTCCCACTGGATCCCATTTGGGGAAGGGTCCTCAGAGCCCCCTGACCCCATTCCCTGTCCCCCATCCCAGGGAATGGTGCTGGCTCTGTTCCCCACTGGATCCCATTTGGGGAAGGGTCCTCAGAGCCCCTGACCCCATTCCCTGTCCCATCCCAGGGAATGGTGCTGGCTCTGTTCCCACTGGATCCCATTTGGGGAAGGGTCCTCAGAGCCCCCCTGACCCCATTCCCTGTCCCATCCCAGGGAATGGTGCTGGCTCTGTTCCCACTGGATCCCATTTGGGGAGGGTCCTCAGAGCCCCCTGACCCCATTCCCTGTCCCCCATCCCAGGGAATGGTGCTGGCTCTGTTCCCACTGGATCCCATTTGGGGAAGGGTCCTCAGAGCCCCCTGACCCCCCTCCCCATCCCTGTCCCATCCCAGCTCCAGGAGCTCGTGTGCCACGTGATGATGGGAAACCTCGTCATGTTCCGCAAGGATTCCGTGCTGAACATCCTCAGTGAGTGGGGTGGGATGGAATGGGAATTGGGGTTGGGAAATGGGAATGGGGTTGGGATTGGGAAATGGGATTGGGAATGGGAAATGGGATTGGGAATGGGAATGGAATGGGAATGGACTGGGAATGGGACAGGATTGGGAAATGGGAATGGGAAATGGGAACAGGATTGGGAATGGGAATGGGTTTGGGAAATGGAAAGGGAGGAGGAATGGATTGGGAAATAGGAATGGGATTGGGAAATGGAAATGGGAGAGGGAATGGGAATGAGAAAGGGAGTGGGATTGGGGAATTGGAGTGGGAATGGGATTGGATTGGGATTGGGAATTGGGGAATGGGATTGGGAATGGGAATGGAAACGGGAATGGGATTGGGAATGGGGAATGGGATTGGGAGTGGGAGAGGAAATGGAATGGGGGATAGGGGATGGGAATGGGAAATTGGAGTGGGATTGGGAATTGGACTGGGAATGGGAGTGGGAATGGAAAGGGAATGGTGGATTG